AAAGTGCAGCTAATATACAAAGTTCTTGTGTACCCTGAGCCTACTTTTGCTCATTTTACATTAGTATAGTACTTTATCAATACAAAGAAACTGGGATCATCCAGGCAGGGTGGTGCACACGGTGCACACCTGTATTCCCAGCACTTGGAAGGCTGAGGCAGAAGGATCACCAAGAATTTGAGGCCAGCCTGAGCTACATAGTGAGTTCAAGGTCAGCCTGCACTACAAAGCAAGACCTCTCACAAAAACAAAACAAAGCAAAATTAGAAACCAGCATTGTACAGCACTATTTAAGTAAAATTCCATGTTTTATTTAGATTTTGCCACTTTATCCATTAATATACTTTCTGTTTGCGGATCTAATCCAGGATATCCCTGTATTTAGTTGCAATCTCCCCACTATTCTCCAGTCTTATCCTTGACCTTTCCATTTTTAAGGAGTACTGATGGGCTGGTGAGATGGCTCAGTGGTCTAAAGCACCTACTTAGAACAAGCTTAGCAGAGCACAGGGACCACGGTTCAATCCCCCAGCACCACATGCCAGCCCCGCCCCCTGGTGGGCTGAGCTGGCCACACACACACACACACACACACACACACACACACACACACAAATAAATTAATTAATTAATTAATTTAAAAAAAAGGAGTACAGATAACCTATAAATGTCCCCAGTTTTCATTTGTATAATTTCTATGTCAGATGCTTAGGTTAGGGTTATAGATTTTTGAAGAAAACAAGAAGGAGATTACCATCTTGTGATACAACATACCAGCGGTTACAGGGTATTCATGTGACATAACTGGTAATGTAACCAGCTGCTCTGAGAGACCTGAAAAGTTCCCAGCAGCCTGTCGCCCCAGGCTCCTGATGCTTGCACTCTGACCCTTTGAACGTATGTTTGAATCTTTCTAAAACTGTGGAACATCAGTTCAGTTTATGGGCCAGAGCCCTGGATATAACCAAACCCATTTGGAGGGCGAGGGTGCCCTAAGCCCTGTACACCTGGGTACACACCAGGGAGGTCCAAATCCCTCAGACCTGGGGCTGAGCCTAAGCTGTTCATCTCTGTGAGCTCTGCTGAGGAGCGAGTCCTGCCCTCCTGCACCCCCAACCCCACCCCGCCCATAGTCTGCGAGAGTTCTCCAAGGAGATGCCAAGGGATCTGTTTTCATCTCTGCACATAAGGACCCCCACAGCAGGTACCAAGCTGGCTTCCTCTTGCTCTGTGCTGGTGGAGGAAGCCACAGGATGGGAAGTCTGTGGTCCAGGCACTAGAACCCTGCCCCTGTGGGCAGCAGGTGTGTCTTTGCTAGCTTGTCCTCTCCACCTCTGTACTGTGTGCTTGCTGCCCCAACCCTGTGTTGATTTTCAGCACAGAGATGGATTTTTGTGCCCAGGTGGGACTGGGCCCATGTAGGTGGCTTCCTGTCCTTGGGGGAGTGATCCACAAATCCAGTCTGAGAATCTCCATGCAAAGCTGTCTGGAAAGAGAACTGTCCACATCACCGAAGATTCCCTCACTTTTCTGAGGGCTGTGTTAAGTGTCTGTGTGAGTGTGTGTGTGTGAAAGAGAGTGAGTGCTGGTAATTTCCCACTTGAACTAAATAATGGGGTTACAGGAAAAAATACTGGGCAGGCTTTCTCCATTGAACAAGTCCTTGGCATTGGGCAGGACCCAAGGGACTCATAGCTTCCTGCAGCAAGTGTGTGTATGTGTGTGTCATCCATATACACAGCTCTGGCTGGAGAGTACAATGTGTCTTTTTATGATTATTATTTTTATTTAGTTCATTGGAAACTTCACACTAGCATTAACAGATCTAGCAGAAGCAGCCTAAGCCGTCGTCCTGGGCTCCAAATAAAGATATGGTAGGGAGACTGCTGCTGGACAAGGAAGTGCTGAGGTCTTGAATTAGGTCACCTGCCTGCAGATGCGTCACCTGGCAGGCTGCCTCCCACCCCTCATCCTGCATGTTGTCCAGCTGAGAGGCTCCAAAGGTACGGGAGCAGCTGGGCCCTGGGTTCCTGTTTCTGAGAAGGGTCAGGCTGGGCGGTGAGAACCAGCCCGGGGGACATTTGGCAGACTTGCACATGCACACAGCAGCACCTCTAGGGCCTGCCTGGACACTTAGAGCAGTGTGGAGGGGCTCCCGGTCTCACTGAGACTGTCTCATCCCTGTCGGGGACAGTCTCGAGTGTGGTTCCCAAGCTCTTTGATCAGAGGCAGGGTCAATGACCTGACAGCCTTAGACGCACAGCCCACTGTGCGTGTTTCATTTTCCTCCTGCTTTGTCCTGTGCACATAGGTACCCCCACCTTGATCCCAGGCTGCCTGCGAGGCTGGGGTCTGCATGTGCTCCCTCTTCCCCTGTGCTGTCTCTCTCCATCTCCTGTTTGCACTTGACCTGGACAATCTGCATCCCGACCCATCAGTCCTAGAACTCAGTGGCCTTGCAGTGTGGGATCCCAGTGCTGAAGGTTCCTACCCTGCTCCCGGTTCCATCCTGGCCAGTGGCCTGGCCCTCGGGACTAAACTGTTTTAGAGCAGACGGCTGAGTTGAGCATGTTGGAGACAAGTGAGAGGTACGTCGGCAAGACTGAGCCTGTGAGTGTATGGGGTGGCTGGGCTTGCATCCCTTCACTGGGGAGGAGGCTTCCAGAAGAAAGGAAAGGTATGGGAAGGGAGAGAGTTTGGAGGTTTCTTTTGTCTTTATTGATTGGAAAGAAGTTGATGCTGAGTGTTTGAGAAAGAAGAGAACAGGTAGGCAGGGAATTTCATGATTCGACATCCAAGGATCCAGCCAGAGCTGAAGTTTAGAAAATCCTCCAAATTTGGCCACAGAAGCAGCCGGCCAGAGAAACCTGCTGCTCACTGGCACACACTGACGCCTTGCGAGTGGCGCTGATTTCCGTCGTGGAGAAGGGGCTGCAGGCCGCAGACAAGTCTCTGAGCTCAGGCCGTTTCCAGTAGATGCACTTACACCTTCCCGTTCTCAGCCGATTTTGTCCACTGCCTTTGTCCTGTGCAGAGCTGGCCTCAAGTGGGGTGAAGCAGTAGGAGTGAGTGCCTGGGGTCCATGCAGTAGGGCCCCCTGCACGCCAAATGAAGCATGGGGTCTGCAAGTCCCTCTGGGGGAGCACAGCCCCCTCCTCTGCTCTTGGCCGGTGCTCCTGAGTCTCCCTGTACCTGCGCCGGCTCCATTCGCCCATCCACGGGCCCTTCCATTGTTCTAGTGGCTTCTAACTGAAGCACACTGCTCTGAGGGAGTTACAGGAGGGCAAATGGCACCATTCTTGAATTTTCAGCTTGTTCTCTGCAATAAGCTTCCTTGACGTCCAGGATACAGTTTGGGGAGTGGGCGTCCCTGCTGTTACTGAGAGGTTTGCAGAAGGCAGCTTGGGAGCAGAACGGGTGTGTGTGCCCATCCCTGTGGGCCGCATGGCTGGACATGCACTGATGGATGTCGCTGAGGCGTCAGAGCTGCAGGAGATTCCTCGTGGCGTCCCACAGCCCTGCCCAGCGCCGGGTGGGCTCTGTGGGGCCCAGGCTTCCAGGCTTTGCCTCTCCTCCTCCGCAGAGAAACTGGAGAGATGGACATTACGGTGCTGCAGTCATTGTGAGCGCTAAACACTCCCAGGTTCAGTGGTGTGCTAATCTCCTGTTTCTGGTATTTTTAATGGTGGGCTTTTCTCACAAAACATGCAGTATCATGGGAAGAGAGCCAGCCTCTGGCCTGCCACTTCCAGGTTTCCTTTATCGCTTCGACGGGACTTTATGGTCTGCAGAAATGCTCTGTTTTTGGCATGCTTCTAGACAGTAAGATTTGGGTTGTTTTGTTTTATATTTGGTTTATGTTTACATGCATCTTGTATTTCCCTAAAAACTAAATAAAGCTTTTAGCCTTTTTAACTAAAAACAAAAAGAAAAACACACCATTAGTGATGTTAATCTTCAGCACTTAGTCAATGCCTTAAATACTAATTTGTCAGGGTTTTTTACTATAAAATTACTGTTTTTGCCTTTTGCTACTCTAAATATAGACCATCCTTAGTGAGTGTGGAAATTAAACTCCACCTCCTGTGGGAGGGAGTGTCTATACATATTACTTGAAATTATTATGTAAGAAAGGTTGGTCTCTTTTCCTCATTTATTTATTTATTTATTTATTTATTTATTTATGTCAATATGGATTTACACCAATCCTTGATCTAAAACCTGTGTTTCTTCCTGCTACATTAGGTAAGAAATGACAAGAATATTTATCAAGGCATGATTTCAGAGAAGCTTATCAATTTCTGAGATTTGGGGAAGGTAGATTTGATAAAACTTGATGATCTTGCATATGAGTGGGTGATGGAGAGGAAGTATTTGAAAATAATATTCATAGATTTGAGTGGCTAAAATTTTAAATTGTGGTTAAAAGTTAAAATTTTTGTTTGAAGCTGTGTGCTACCAAGTGTGAAGACTGGTGCTGGGCTTTGATGAGCCTCAGCTTCTTTAGAGACTGTCCAGCCTACGCATGACCCAGCTCTACCCAACAGGCCTTTCTTCTGCCAGAGCGAACACTGCTTGTCTTCTGGCTGAAGCGCCCTGCCCCCAGTGGACAGCCCCCTGGGTCCTGCTGCGCGTCTGAAGGACGGCCTGGGTTCCGTGGGTTTCGTGGCTGTTTCGCTTTGGGGTTTTTCTGCTTAGTTCATTTGCACAGCAGAGGCACTGGACACTCTCCCTCGTCCTCTCTCTCATGCTGCTTGCTGGGATTAAACTCAGGGTCTTGCATCAGCTAGGCAAGAGCTCTGCTACATCTCCAGCCCATGATTGTATTCCCTGTCTAAAAAACAACCCTTCCATACTTACCAGCTCATCCCATTTGTACCTTCACCCTCCGTCACTCCCATTATCTGGTACTCTAAACAAGAGTGTACTTGAGCCTTATTTTTACTGGGTTATCGTCTTCTTCCATCTGGTACTATATTAATGTTAATTCTTTGTTTCAGAGCCATCATCAACCACTTTAATCCCAAAATTGAATCCTACGCTGCTGTGAATCACATATCCCAACTGTCAGAGGAGCAGGTAAGCCATTGTCCTCCCCACAGTGACTTGGTTGGTGGCTAGGATCAAACAGTTACCTTCTCTCAAGTGGCAGGACAGTCTGTTACTGAGCTTCTGGCAGGAGTGGCACGTGTCAGGCACTGAGAAGCTGTGGTCCAGGGTGCTTGATAGCACTTTAGAGCTGTACCTTCTTATTTGTGCCTCGGAGAGGTGGGTTCAGTTATACAGAGGAGCTATAGGTGAGAATGTGGTAAATATGGTTCCATGGGTGAGAAGGCATTACTCCTTAAATTCTTGGTCAGAGAGTCATTTTGATGTTTGAAAGTAAGAAATGAAAATTTAGAAGTAGAAGAAAATGCCAGTTTAAAAAGCCCGGTTTCAACTTAATTTGAAACTATTTGGCTCATTAAAATATGAGCCCTCACTGGGACAAGCTTCCTTAGTAATTGAGTTCCCTTTGCCTTAAGCAGTTGTTTCTGTGTAAGTCCTTCTCCGGCAAGGCCTAGCTTGGGATGCAGATACACATGTGTTTATTTTCCTTGGGTCTGGCCTGATTTCTCCTTTCTGAAAGCGCCTGCACTCAGCTTTGCATTATGTAAAGTACAGATGGGGGGGCTTCAGCATGGCACAGGGTTGAATCTAATGTTTCATTCTGAGACACTTGAGTCCTGTTTTAAAAGCACAAAACAAAATATCTTTTTCATATACTTGCCTTCCTTCCCACCCTGCTGCCCAGTTGGAGGGGCCAGGGCACAGATTCCAAGCCAGTCAGAAAAGCGCACATGCTCAACCCCCACCTCCACCCCCAGCTCGTCATTGTAACCCCTTTCGGAGCTTTTTATTGTCAGGGGCAGACAGCATCTCTGCTGTGACCATGTGTTCTAGCACTGTGAAAAGCTACTCTGTTCATGCAGACTTCTCAGTATTCCCCCCAGCGGCTCTTTCCTCTGCCACATGGATAGAGCTGTATTAGTCTGTCAGTTGTTCCCTTTGACATATTTGTTCTCTTTTGTGAGGCCAGCTGTGTGAATCCACCCTCACATTTAAAACTGCTTTGTAAATGGCTTTCATTTCTCCTTCCCTCTCTGCCTAGTGCAGTCAGAGTCTTGTTCTTTGGTTCTGGTCTGCTCTGCGAGATACTTCTTGCTGTTGCTCCCTCGTCCTGCCGGACCAGTTCATTTCAGCTTTACCATGTCATCTTTCTGCAGAATAATTCAGGGCCTTGAGTTCTATGCAGTGAGAGAAGGAGTGACTTTCTCTCCACAGTGAGATCTCATTAGTCTTTATTTTTTTTTAAAGAACATACATTTTTACTGTCAGCCTCAGGCAGCTAGGAGAGCTTAGGCTGCTTTCTGCAGCACTAGCAGCCACAGAGCAACAATTAAAACCCCTTCTTGTGCAAGAGGCAGTCTGGAAAAGATCAGCAGTAACATGTCCTCACCTCCCCACAGTGTCTTTCCAAGTGAAGTGGAGTGGGCTAGTGTGTTCTCTTGCAGTAGCCCAGTCTCATCTTGGAGAATGTACTTATTTTCCTAATTTTACTGGCTCAGACTCTTTCTGTAGGGCCGGATTCTTTTCTTATCTTTGATAAATGTAAAACTTCGCTACTGTTAAAAAAAAAAAAAGTTAAGTAAAGTGATAAAAGTACCTCTGGAAAAGAGCCCACAAGCCAGGGGCGGGATGACTGGTGTGGAGAGGGACAGTACCAATCAGGAGAGGGAAGAACAACTCTCCAAAGATTTACCTACTCAGGCAATAAAGAACTAAATGGCTGCTGTCTTCCAGGGAGCTGTGTTGGGAGTGGTGATCCGTGGTGAACATTCCTAAGCATAGTCCCCCCTCTCACAGATGTCCTCTCCCACTTCAGTGTAGGGATCAAACCTAGGGAGTCTACATGCCAGGCAGATGTTGCCACCAAGCTCAGCCCCAGCCCTATGCGGGGGTTTTGTGTACTCGTTACCTGTCTTTTCAAAAATGTTTTATTATTTTTAATGTTTTATCCTTACAAGCAGTTTATTGAATAATTACTCCTGTCTGTCTCTTTTTTTTTTTTTTTTTTTGCAGAACCAGGGATTGAACTCAGGCCCTTGCGCTTGCCAGGGAAATGCTTATTCCCTGAGCCATCTCCCTGGCCCTGTCTGTCTGTCTCTATCTTATTAGTAAACGTGTGTACTACATGATGTCTGTAATCCTTGTGTGGAGTTGGCAGTGTACAGAACACAGCTTTACTCTATATTGTCCTGTTTCCTTCCCTCCTTCTCCCTCTTCCTCTTACTTCCATCCCATTTGAGGAACTGCTCCCTATTTTCTATTCTTTTATTTTGCTCTTTATTTATAATTTGGGTTTCTCATATAATTGAAGCCATACAATATATTTTAGATTGTGTGTCTGATTTGTTTCATGTTGTGGTCTCCAGGTGCCTCCATTTTCCCACAAGTGACTCATTTTATCTTTTCATGGAAGAGCAGTGCTCCACTATGTATAAAAAGCCCATTTTCTTTATTCATTCATCTGTTGATGGACATACAGACTACTTCTAAGATTTAGCTATCATAAGTGGTTCTGCTATAAACAAGGTATGCATGGATCACTATGACATGGTACTTTTTTCCTTTTTGTTTTATGATATGGTATTTTAACTCTTTCAGAAAGGTGCTTAGAAGGAAAATAGCTGGGTCAAAAGGAGTTTTTAGTTTTTTAAATTTTTTAGTTTTAGTTTTGAAATTTCTTATTGATTTCTATAGTAGTTATAGTAGTTTACATTCTCACTAGCAATGAAGATGGGCTCCTTTTCTCCACAACCTCATGACCATTTGTTATTATTTGATTTCTTGATGATGGCTGTTCTTTCTGGAGTAAGCTGGAATGTCAGTGTTGTTTTAATTTGCATTTCTTTAATGGTCAGTGACGCTGAGCCTTTCTTTGTGTATTTATTGGTCATCTGTGCTTCTGTGAAGCGCTTACTCATTTCATGTACCTGCTTTTTTTTTTTTTAATAAATTTTATTTATTTGTGTGTGTGTGTGTGTGTGTGTGTGTGTGTGCAGCTTAGCCCACCAGGGGGCGGGGCGGGCTGGCATGTGGTGCTGGGGGATTGAACCGCATTCCCTGTGCTTTGCTAAGCTTGTTCTAAGTAGGTGCTTTAGACCACTGAGCCATCTCTCCAGCCCACATGCTTGCTTTTTGATTGGATCTTATTGGTGGGGTCTGATGTTTTTGAATTCTTTATATGTTCTAGACATTAATCCTCTCCTTAGTAAGCAGCCGTTCTTCCTAGTAGAATCATTTGGTGTGCAAGGCAGACCTGGTGATCGAGGGCGAAGGGTTCTACAAAGGTGAGGTGAGGAGTCAGACTGCAGGCTTAGATGCACGGTGATGGAAGTGTTTCTGCCATGGGAACTTCCAGTCTGCTTCAGTTTCCTCCATTCCAGGGCTGCTTTCTGGTTCCAGTTGTGTTCATCTCTAGTTCCCTCCCTAAAAGGACCACAGTCTTCGTTCATTGCTGTTGTAAAACTTTCTAAATGCTGGCCTTCATCATGATCTTCTTCAGTGAGCTACACCCTTTTCATTGGTGGTGGAGGACTGAGCGACACAACCTGTGCTTCAGTGATAAAGCCTAATGATCTTTTTGTGTATACTAAATAAATGTGAACGGAAGGTATTACAAGAGAAGCTCTTGACTCCAGGCTCAATCTTGGGGATTCACATGCTTCCAGGACAGCTTTCTGGCTGAGTCAGTGCCCTCAAAAATATGCTGAAGTAGGGGGAAAGGAAGGGAAAAAAAAAAGTGTGGAGGGGGGGGAAGAAAAAAGAAGGGGAAAAAATGGAAACAAAGCTGGGGCTGGGGAGATGGCTCAGTAGAATAAGCGCTTGCCTGGCAAGTGCAAGGGCATGAGTTCAATCCATGGTTCTGCACACAAAAAAAACCCCAAAACAACAAAGCTTTTGTGAATAAGGAGGGGAAGAAGGGTTGAAGTGGGGGGAAGAATCAAGATATATCAGGTAGAGGTACAGATTCCTTATGATGAATGTGATCATGATGTATATCTCAAATGTACAAATAAAGAGTCCTAGCCCAGGCCTGGTGAGTGTGTGGGAGAGCTTCCGGCTACCCTGCGCCAGCGGAACCTACTACTGGTCCCAGCCCAGGCCCTGCGTGGGTGAGACCCTCTTCCACCCCCTTGGGACGCCCTCCACCACTCCGCAGCACCTCTCCCATCCTGCCCGCTGAGTAGGAATTTCTGCCACGTTCTGGGAACCCCCAGACGCAGTCCTAGCCCAGGCCCAGTGAGTGTGGGGGGTAAATGCCTCTCCCTCCTACTCCACCTTGTCCCCTCCAGACTCAGCTCAGGCCTGGCATACAGGCCTGGGGTGAAACCCTGCAGCTGCAATTGTTGTAGAGAGTGTAGAGGATAGAACCACCCAGCTAGTCCAGGAGCAGAA